ATTTAGAAACAATTTTTTCCGTGGTTGGACAGCCCTACTGCACATCTTGCATACAAACAAACCAACACCCAATAGCAAATAGAAACATTTCACACATCAATGAATGTGTTTCCAAATAATTGGATCAATAAGCTGGTGAGTTCAGCAGAACCCTATTCACACTAGGGTGCTGCCTTGTAGCCAACTAGATGTTTTGGGTAGCCCTTTCACCACTACCCGGTCCTTCAGCTTGCAGAGCTGTTGGCATCCACCCAAATGAGCTGGTAAGAGTTTTCACATAACAATGCACAACACACCCTTAAAATAGAATATTTTTTTCCTTCCAGTCAGAGGGATAAAACCCAGCCAAAAGAGCAGCAACAGTAGCAGAATCTGCTGAGTGAGGGCTGCTGGTGAGCTGAGCTTTGAGTTTCCTCTCCTGACAGAATGTGTCAAGTCTTACATATTCAAGGTTGCAAACCAGGCTTCCGTCAATATTTATTCCTCTCCAAAATCGCTAAGAAATGTGTTAAAAAGCTGGGATTAGTTAGAGGATGTGTAAGATAGTTTGTTTATAGATGGCCAGGGGCAGACTGCAGCAATGTCCTTAATGGTGAGATGCGGAGACCATCGCTTGGTCTAACATCGCCCCGTCCCACAGCCAGACAGCGATCACATAGGCAGAGGCTTCCCCCCATGGAGCTGTCAACATGGTAGGCTTCCTGTGTTGCCAGCTCCAGGCCTGGGTGGTGGAGAGAAGTCGCGTGCATTGTGTGTGCACCTCACTTCTCTCCATATGATTGCTAGGCCAACTGCCGAAATGCGGTAAAAGGAGGTGAGGCGAAACAACCACCTCCACCTCCTCCATTAAAAACAGTGCCACCGCATGTGCTATCATCAACAGCACATGTGACAAGGACCCTAAACATGACATTTGACCATGTTTAGACTCTCTAATAATATATATGAGGACCTTTAGATTCTTAGATTCACCTGTTTAAGGAGCTCCACTGGCTGCCATTCATTTTCCGGTGCCAAATTCAAGGTGCAGGTGCTTACCTACAAAGCCCTAAACGGTTTGGGACCCGCCTACCTGCATGACTGCATTTCTGTGTACAAACCCACACAATCTCTTCGTTCATCCGGAGAGGCCCTGCTCACGATCCCACCTGCATCGCAAGCACGATTGGTGGGGACGAGAGATAGGGCTTTCTCGGTGGTGGCCCCTGGAACTCTCTCCCTAAGGACATCAGGCAGGCCCTGTTGCTAGCAATTGATGTATTTTATTGATTTTACTAGGTGGTACTGTGAATTTATGATGTTGTGTTGATTGTTTATTGTCTATTTGTATGTTTTGTTTTGCTGTGCCCACTTTAAAGCCCTGGTGTAATAAAGTGGTAACTTAGAAACACCATTAAAGGCTATTTTAAATATATTGTTGTAGTTGTGTCTCCTAGTACCGTTACTACTGATGATAGGAGTAGCGGAGGAGGAAAGAGAGGTGCTCAGAGTTTGGATGAGGAACAACAAAGAAAGAGAGTTAGGGAGATATTCATGTCTCCTACAGATGATGACTCATTTGAGGGTTTCTCAGAAGGAGAAATGGAGGAAACAGATCCATGATATACTTACTGCTCCAACTGAAGAAGAAGAGTTTATGGGCTTCACTGGAAGTGATGGGTCTGGGAGTAGTGACGAGGAGGAGGAAGCGTTGGATTGGACTCGTGTACAAGAAGTTAGAGATGTGTGTACACAACCTACGTCCAGCGATACTTTTGAAGGGTTTTCTGGGGACTGGCAATCTGGTGTTACATGGAGAGACCTAAGTCTTGATAAGAGATGGAAAAGCTGGAGAGAGGGGTGTTGGCGTTCAGCTGTGAAGGCTAGAGCATCTGATAGCGATGAGGAAAGGGAAAAGGAAATTATCATCAACAGATAATGAGGTGTAAGATAAATGTGCCCCCGGTGGTGCACTAGGTTCTGCCAACCTAGCAGTTCGAAAACAATGTGAGTAGATCAATAGGTACCGCTCCGGCGGGAAGGTAACGGCGCTCCATGCAATCATGCCGGCCACATGACCTTGGAGGTGTCTACGGACAATGCTGGCTCTTCGGCTTAGAAATGGAGATGAGCACCACACCCCAGAGTTAGACATGACTGGACTTAATGTCAGGGGACTACCTTTACCTTTACCTAAGATAAATGTAGGCACTGGACTAATGGCACTTTGCAGGAGGCAAAGTGTTGGATTCGTGCCTGGGTCTTTGTTGCTGTCATTTCTCTTGTTGGGTCCTGGAACTACAGGTTGCTGCTTCTCCGTGCATTTGGCTTTGGCTTTGGATTCCTGTAAGTGCTGATTTCCCCTCTTCTTGACTTTGGACTGCCTGGACAATGGCACTGTTTTTTGGACTCTAATATCTTTGACTTCGGACTGTTTTTGGACTACGGCTTTATGTTCTTCCACCTTATTTACTTGCATACCTTGAACTCTGTGACTTTGGAGCATTTTGCTCAACTTTTTGTTTATCCCAGACTATATGCCGGTTTAATCCGGATTATTTGTCAAGTTAAGTTTTTGTCTTGTAAACTGCTTGAAACCTTTTGTTTTGGCCAGGACACTGAAGTAAGTGTCCCTGAGTCCTTTTTGTTGCCTTAATGAACTTTGTTAGGACTTTATCACTGTGTCTGGCTCTTTAAAGGTGTCTGGATCCTAACGTATATTCATAATCATGTTTTCTCCAACAATATGCACTATAAGTTCCTTCTGTCTCCTGGGGGTGAATGTGTTTTATATTATTTTCTCACATTTATCTTCCACTTTTATCCCGAGAGCAATGTTTTGGGTAGGTTATTGGTTCCTGACCATCACATTAGCTTTATAGGGAAGCTACATTATATTGATTTATTGTTGAAGGCTTTCATGGCCAGAATCACTGGGTTGTTGTAGGTTTTTCCGGGCTATATGGCCATGTTCTGGAGGCAATTTTTCTCCTGACGTTTCGCCTGCATCTATAGCAAGCATCCTCAGAGGTATTGATCAAATCCTAGGGTTGGAAGGGAAGATAACTTGTTGACATTGCAGGAATTCCCAGCAATTTTGTGTTTCATTTTGACATTGCAACTCAAATAGGTTAGTTCAGCATTATGCACATGTGAACAAAAAAAAAATCAGAAGATTGACACAATTTCCTTTGCAATGAAAAGCTTGTGTATTTGTGGCTTTGTGATCACCTTGTTAAGCTCCTTGAAGTGAAGCTGTATTGTTCCTCTCAGGGTGGATTTGAATGTAAGTGTTGTTGCAGCTAAGCATCTGTTATTTTGGAGAGTCAAAGACAAGAGATTTTCATTTCTATACTCCACAGATGGAGAAATGAGAGGAACAGATTTTATTTTATTTTATTTTTTGTAAATCTAACTAAAATTAAGATTTGGGTTACTTTGAATTTTAATCCTAGCTCTTAGGTATTTTATATGATTAAAATGGATTCAGTGTCGAATACGAAAAAGGAGACAAATATATGTTTCCATAAAGACAAACATTTATGTACCATGAAATTTATGTGGACAATGTCTAGATTTTAAAGAGAAAGTTAATTTTTATTTAAGAACATATTATTTTACTTGTTATTTCTTGATTGTCATCGCCATGAATCATACATTTAAATTGTGCCTTGTTACACTTTTGAAAACCAGGCAACCATAATGTGTCTCTTACCTGAACCCAGTAATATATCCCTGCTGAAGTGAGACAGGCGCCCTCTTTGATGGCCTTCCGTAGAAGCCTGAAGACATGGCTCTTCGAGCAGGCCTTCAACTGAG